TTTTTCTGAATTCTGGGTTTTACGCGCGACGCGCACGGCGCAGCGCGCGGGCGCGCCGTGGCACGGCGCGGCGGCGACCTTTTTTGCATTCTGGGCCAAGGCGGCGCGCGCGGCGCGAGGTCGCGGCGCGGCGCGCGGGCGGCGATGTCGTTCGCGCTCTGGGTTTGAATCGCGACGCGCGCGACGGGCGCGGTGGGGCGCGGCGCAAGTGCGACATTTTTTCGCATTCTGGAGTTTAGCACGGCGCGCGCGGCGCGGCGCGTGGGCGCAGCCTGGCCCGGCCCAGGACGCGGGCGGTAACGTTGTTCGCACTCTGGGTTTGAGGCTCGACGCGCGCTCCATGGCGCGCGGGCGCGGTCCGGCGTGGCACGCGGTCGGCACGCTTTATTTCCCGAATTCTGGGTGCTAGGCGCGACGCGCACGGCGCGGCATGCAAGCGCGGTGCGACGTAGCGCGCGGGGGGAAGGGGCAACGCGTGTCTGCTGCATTACCTGTGATATAAAGCCTGCCATGTAACTAAGACTTGGAACCCGAACGCACTCGTTACACAGAGAACCTTTTATATCTGGTGTTTGAAGAAAGCAGCGGTTTTGTAGCACCCATGTACCAACTCATCAAACCATTTTTGTCTCGAGCGTATTGAGAGCCCATTCGGTCGTTGGGCCGTGACGTCGCGATCAGCGTGCGGGGCGCGCCCGATTTTCAACTTGTGAAGACGGCCTACGCGACACTGCCAAATGTGGGCTTTGATTCCTCGACCAGCCGATTCGCGCAACCCCCGGGAGTAGTTCTTGACAGCGGCCTGGTTCCACCATGAGTCAGGCAGGGGCGGTAGAACGCCGCTGCGAAGCACAGGGGAGGGCCGGGGAGGGAATACGAATAATATCAATAATAAGAAAAATATGATGATGGTGGTGCTGATGGTGGTGATGGTGATTGTGATGATGTTGGTAATGATTATGCTGCTGGTGCTGATGCTGGTGCTTCTGATGATGCTGATGAGGATGGTAAGAAGGCCAATGCCAAGACCCAGGAAGGCGCGGGACTGCTTCCATTAACTGAAGAAGACGCGGATCAGGAGGAGGAAGAGCAGGAGGAGGAGGAGGACGAAGAGGACGGGGCAGAACGCCAACCAAGAGGCCACCTCCGATCCTACATCTGCTGCTGCTGCTGCAGCAGGGTCTCCCCTCTGGTTGAGATTCGCAGCAGGCCTCGCCGCCTTCGCGGTCGAAAGGCTCGCGCCCTATTCGTCGTCGTCGTCGTCCTCGTCCTCGTCGTCGTCCTCGTCGTCGTCGTCGTCCTCCTCCTCCTCCTCCTCCTCCTCCTCCTCCTCCTCCTCCTCCTCCCCCTCCTTCTCAAAGGCTGGCGCAGCGGTCTGTGCGCCGCTCGATCGCCTCCCCCTGGGCACGTCCAGCAGCGCGAGGAAGAAGCTGAGCGCCATGGCCGCCCAGTAAGCCACCTTCACAACGCCCCAGCGCGGGCGCAGGCTCAAGCGGCGAGCGCCGCGGCCAGGGCTGCGCGCTCGCGCAGCGGGGCCGCCCCGGCCCCCACCGCCGTGCGCAGCTGGCGCGCGCTGGTCGCGCCGAAGGCGACCAACAGCTCCGCGCCCCAACGACGGTGCGCGAGGGCGCCTGCCGCGGCGGCCTTGTCCCTGGCCAGCAGCTGCGCGCGGTCCAGCGCGAGCCGCCGCAAGTGGGCAAGGGCCGCTGGGCCGTGGCGGCCGCAAGTTTCCGGCGCGAGCGGCACCATCTGCCGTGGCGCTCGCCCAGCTGATCGGCCTCGGCGCCCCTGCAGACGGCGTCGTCCCTCGCCGCGGCAGCCCGGAACCCATCGGTCGAGGATTGTCTCCTCGCGCTTCACCGTCAGCTCAATCCCGCACCTGGCGCAGGCCGCCCTCGCACCTGGGCGCGTGGGCACCGCGCCGCCTGCCCCGCAGCCCGCGCAGTGCCAACGCCAGCGGTCTCAGGCCGGCACCGGCATTTGCCACGCGACGCGGTAGCCGCACTCGGCGTGGATCCGCTCCCGCGCGGTCTCCTGCTCGCCGCTGCGCGCCTTCAGCCCGCGGCCGCGCGAGCAGCGCCGGGCGTGGTGCGTCCTGGCGCAAAGCGGGTCCCCGCAGCGCTGGCCCGCCGCCCTCCCTTGCGGGTGCAGTTGTGGCAGGTGGCCCCAGCGGGCGCAACGTCTTGGCCCAGCAGGCAGCGCGTCGTGGAGCGGAAGTCAGTGTCGCTCAACTGCTGGCCGCCCTCGCAGGGCGAAGCGGTCTGCCAGCCTGCCGCGCGCGGGCCGCAGGAGGAGCGGAGGAACGCCCGGTCCTCTTCAGAGTTTGAAGGGCCCAGCAAGGAGTTGTAGTTCTTTTGGTATATCCTTGCCCCTTCCTCTTCCCTGGGAGGAGAAGAAACAGGAGGGGAAGGAACGATGAGGCGGAGGAGGCGGAGGAAGATGGGAGGGAGAAGTAGGAGTGGGAGGCCTCCTCCTGCTTTCCCTTGTCCCTCCTCCTCCTCCTCCTCCTGTTCCTCCTGCTCCTCCTCCTCCTCCTCCTCCTCCTCCTCCGATGCCAACGAGTACCAGCGCTGTCGCAAGCTGATTATGATTATGATTATCCTCCTCCTCATTCTCCGTCTCGTTCTTCTCTTTCTCCTTCTCCTTCTCCTCTTATTCCTCCTCCTCCTCCTCCTGCTCCTCCTCCTCCTCCTCCTCCTCCTGCTCCTCCTCCTCCTCCTCCCTCCTCCTCCTCCTCCTCCTCCTCCTCATGGCAAACACTTCCTACAACATCGGGCCCCTTACATCCGCCAACGTGCATGCATAGAGTTGGCGTGCTAGAGTGCTTCTCTGTTGCCTGGTAGGTTTCGTAAGTGTTTTCGAAGGCCGACCGCACCCCCCCTGCGCACAAGCGTCCTTCTAATATCGCCGCCCTCCTCCTCCGCCCTCCAAAGCCAATGTTAGGTCACTTTCCATATCAAGTTGCGCCCACCAGAATCAAGTGCCGAACCCTTCTTCCCCCCGAGGGGGATCAAAACAGGCTCCCCGAGGGGTGTCCAACAGCCTCAACAACGCACCCACGAGAGTGTCAAAATAGCCAACCCAGGGATGCCCAAACAGCCCCCCAAATAGCAGACACATATAACAACAGCCCCAACAGCTCTGAAAGCATAGCATCATACCAAACATGCATGAACACGTTTCAATACAGACATCTGACATCGGACCTGTAGTTGTCGCAGGAGAGGGCGTCGTAGGTGGGCGCCGTGGCGCCCTGCATGTGGCTGGCTTGAACGCACAATTCCACATATTGATGCAGACATGACTACGCACTCATTCTCGCGAGTAACAAAATGGGGTCCACCTGGCTCTAAGAGGCTGTGTTGAGCGACCCACAATTTGATCAGATACGCGGCGAAAGATGCTACAAATGAAGACAAGGCGCTGTCCTATCTACATACCCTTGGTCAACATCGAAAAGTACCGTCCCAAGACAACCAATCGCACCCCAAGACGACCAGACGAACTTCAAGGCGGTCCCAAGTCTGCCGACGACGGCCCCAAGATGGCCTCAATACGGCCCACGAGGCTCCCGAGACGGCCCGCGTGCCTCGCTGAATTGCTGCGGGGCGTGAGCCCGACCTCCTTCCGCCATCCAGACCGCTGGGCGGCATCAAGCCGTTCCTTAGTCCCACCAGCCCTTTGGGCGTGAGTGGTTTAGCGAGCTCTCTCTGTTCTCAACCCCCCTTCTTCCCCTTCGGGGAGGGGTTTACCCCTCCCCCTCCCCCCTCCCCCTGGGCCTGGAGAGGGCGCCCCGCGGGTCGTTGGAGGGGTCTTTTTCGACTCCTGGGAGGGCTAAAAAACGACGACCCTCACGAGGATTCTGGCCCCGACGGGGGGGCACAGTTTGGCCCCGCTCCTCTTCTTTGAAGCCCAAATCATTCATTTTACTACGGTTTTGGCCCCATTTTGGCCTCCTGAGGGGGCAGCGCTCCTCTTCCTTCATAGCAAAATCATTGATTTTACGAAGGTTTTGGGCTCATTTTGTCCTTCTCAGGGGGCAGCGCTCACTTGCGCTTCTGAGGGGGTCGCAAGAGGCCCCAAGATGGCCCCCAGAGGCCCCCAGGAGCCCCCCAAGAGGCCTCCAAGAGGCCCCCAAGAGGCCCCCAAGAGGCCCCAAGAGGCCCCCAAGAGGCCCCCAAGAGGCCCCCAAGAGGCCCCCAGAGGCCCCACGAGGCCCCCAAGAGGCCCCCAAGAGGCCCCCAAGAGGCCCCCAAGAGGCCCCAAGAGGCTCCAAGAGGCCCCCAAGAGGCCCCACGAGGAGCCCGAACGACTCACACCAGGACGAGGGGCCCGAACGACTCACACCACGAAGAGCCCGAACGACTCACACCACAAGGAGGGGCCCGAACGACTCACACCAGGACGAGGCGCCCGAACGACTCACACCACGAGGAGCCCGAACGACTCACACCACGACGCGGGCCCCGAACGACTCACACCACGAGGAGCCCGAACGAGTCACACCAGGAGGAGGGGCCCGAACGACTCACACCAGGATGAGGGGCCCGAACAACTCACACCACGAGAAGCCCGAACGACTCACACCAGGACGAAGAGCCCGAACGACTCACACCACGAAGAGCCCGAACGACTCACACCAGGAAGAAGGGCCCGAACGACTCACACCAGGACGAGAAACCCCAAACGACTCAAATCACGAGGAGCGCTTTCTCTCCCTCCTCCTCCGCCTCGTCCTTCTCCCGCTCCCCCCACAAGGAGGATGTACAAGGAGGCGGGAGGAAGGAGGAACAGGGGAGATATGCGGGGCCAAGCGGACACACGCCTGAAAAACACGACTGTCGGCATGCTTCGCAAGAGTTGCTGCTGTGAGACGGGCTGGTGGGGATACGCGAAGCGTAAAGAATTCTCACTCCTTCCTGCTGCGCTCTCTCTTGCACAGGCACGGCGGCCGGGCCTGCCGCAGGCAGCCGGCTACAGAAGTCCTCGGCCCAGCCGGCTCAGAGCTTAGCCCGCAGCGGCCCCAGCACCTCGTCGGTGTGTGCGCCCAGTGCAGGCGCTCGCCGCGTCGGCACGTCGTCGACCCCGGCGCCGAAAAGCACCGGGGAGGCGAGGAGCTTCGAGGCCACGCCTGGCACCTCCACGAACGACCTGCGCCGGCAGGGCGCGCGGCTACGCGCAGACGTCTTCGACCTCCGACGATAGAGGATCTGCTCAACTTCCTCGACTCTGGCCTCCAGGTTGCCGTTGCAGCGCCCCGACTGTATCGGGGGCGGCAAAGAGGGGGGCGTCCAAGAGGGGGGGGTGCAAATCATGGCCGGCGGCATGTGCGCGGCCCATGGGGGGGGCCAGGGACGTAATGAAACAAGAAGAGGCGCCATGAAATCTGGGGAAATATCATGGCCCCCGCCATGATATCCACCCCCCCTAGTCATCACCCCCCTCTTTTCCGCCCCCGACTGTACCAGGCCCCTGGACAATCAGAAATGGATCCGGGACGGAAAAGTACACCAAGGGGAGGGGTCGGGACCTCTCGGGGGCCGCGGGTCGAGAGCGTCATGCCGGAGGATGCCCGGGTCCGGGACGGGCTGGTCCGAATCGACGCTGCGCCAGCCGAGGGACCTCGCCGCGGACCGGTGGCGCTCCCCGGCCCGGGCCAGCCGGAGGAGTGGGGCTGGTCGGCTCCACACGGATCCCATGCCCAGCTTGGCCAGGGGGGGCGGGCCAGGAGGCCAGACGGGAGGAGGAGGAGGAGGAGGAGGAGGAGGAGGAGGAGGAGGAGGAGGAGGAGGAGGAAGGAGGAGAGGAGGAGAGGGAGAGAGAGGAGGAGGAGGAGAGAGGAGGAGGAGGAGAGGGGGGGGGAGGAGGAGGTATGTGGCTGAGCCCCATCGGGGCTGACCCCAGTAGCCTGCGCCCTGAAGGCGCGAGGCCCCCAGGCCGGAGGCTGCCAGGGGTGCTCCTGGCCTCGCGAGTGGGCGCTCTGGAGGCCGCCTGTGCCTCGCTGGAAGGGGTGGGGCCACCTCGGGCCAGGGCCGCCTCTGGCACCCCCCGACCAGGGCAGTCCGGAACGGTCCGCACACACTCACCCTCCTCGCTCCGCCTCCTCGCTCCTCCTCCTTGCTCCTCCTCCTCGCTCGCTCGCTCGCTCGCTCGCTCCTCGCTCCTCGCTCCTCCTGCTCCTCCTCCTCCTCCTCCTCCTCCTGCTCCTCCTCCTCCTCCTCCTCCTCCTCCTCCTCCTCCTCGCCTTCGGCGGCGCCCCCTGGTGCGCTACGCGCACCAAGCTTGCGGTGTCGAGGCCGCCCTGGGCTGCCCTGGGTGAGGGCCCGTCGGGGGCGGCCAGCACCACCTCGGGGGGCCGTCTCTGCGGAGCCCTAGGCCCTGCCAGACCTGCACGCGTTTGCCTGCTCGTCGTGCAGCATGTCCTCGAGCTTCCTGACTCGCGCGTGCCACACACCAGCATTGTCGAACAGCTGGGTCCACTCTGCCTCCGTCTTTGTTGCGAAGGCCTTGTCCATTTCGGCAATGAACATATCCTTGTTCCCTGGAAACCCTTTCATCTCCTTCAACAGATGCGGAATACCAAGGGCCTGCAGAATGCCAGGAAGATGGCGCATCATCTCGACACCGACGAGCTGAATGTACTTGCCGTCTTTTGTGCGATAATTGTTATTGGCCGGGTTGACAACGCCTGTGCGATCAGCCCGCATGGGGCTGGGCCTGTCAGGGTTGTAGCCCTTCGAGCCAGTCTTTGCCTGGGCCGCCGAAGACATCGCAAGCGAGCAGCCCTGCACGTACATAGCGCTACGAAGAAGGCAGGCGTCCACGAGCTGCCCTCTCCCCGTCCGCGCCCTGTGGTAAAGAGCGATGCTTAGGTCGGGCATGTCCTCCCACAGGCGGATTTTTTTGGGAAAAAATGTCAAAACAAATACAACACAGTTCAAACACAATATCAAAATCGTCCCCAGACTATTTTCCCTATTTTGGAATATTCCTCCTGTAAAGGGACATGCCCGACTTAAAGCGATGCCGATGCCCGCCAGGAGCTGTGTTGCGGTCGTGAGGTCTCCCAGGCCGGGCTGGTACCTCGGCGGGGCCGCACTCTCGCTGGACTCCGAGAGCCAAGCGACGCACAAACATAAAGCTTCGGAGGTCCGCGCGGATTTTTGGCGGAGAGGCAACGATAGGGGGGACTGGCATATGGGCCATTCCGAAAACCCCGTACCCAAAAACGTTTTCATCTCTTCGGGGCGCATCTTTTGCTTCCGCCGAGCTTCCGCCGGCGGAAGCGGCCTCGTTTCACTTCCTCCGACCTTCCGCCGCCTTCTGCCGCGGAAGAGATACAACTCCTTCGATCCTCGAAGGCAAGGCCCTTCTTGGAACGCCCCATCCCGGGCCCCCCCAATGCCATCGCCCCCCCCCCCTCCCCCGTTGATTTGCGCCCGAAGGCGGGCCCCGAGGGCCGAGATCCAGGAGAGAACACCAGGATGTGGCCATAGCCTCGGCTCTCGGGCCCCGGGCGAGGCGAAGGAGGAGGAGGAGGAGGAGGAGGAGGAGAGGGAGGAGGAGAGGAAGGAGGAGAGGAGGAGGTGGAGGAGGAGGAGGAGGAGGAGGAGGAGGAGGAGGAAGGAGGAGGAAGGAGGAGGAGGAGGGAGGAGGAGGATGAGAGGAGGAGGAGGAGGAGGAGAGGAGGAGGAGGAGGAGGAGGAGGATGCGCACTCCTCGTGGCGAAGGCTCTCTGCGCCCGCGGCCTCCTCACCCGCCGACCCCTGGAGTCCGCGACGCGTCGCCGAGGCATCGGCGATGCGCCCCCCGGACCCCTCTCGTGGGTCTCCTCTCCTCCTCCTCTCCTCCTCCCTCCTCCTCCTCCTCCTCCTCCTCCTCCTCCTCCTCCTCCCTCACTCCTCCTCCTCCTCCTCCTCACTCCTCCCTCCTCGCTCCACCTCCTCCTCCTCCTCCTCCCCCTCTGCCTCCTCCTCCACCTCCTCTCCCTCCTCCTCCTCCTCCTCCTCCTCCTCCTGGGCGGGGTGGGGCCATCGGACCTCTCTCGGCGATCAGTGGGCCATTGGGGGTCGACGACTCGCCCCCTGAGTCTGCCCTGAGCTGTTCCTGAAAAAACGCTGGGGGCGTTTTTTTGTTGTTTTGGTTTCGAGATCGACGGTCTCTTTCCGTTTTCGTTGTCGTTTGCTTTCCGTTTTGCAGATGTGGGTCACCGTTTGCTGTCAGTTTTGAGCTCCGTTTTTTAAAGAAAAATTGTTTTCAATGACCGTTTGAGCTCTGTTTGATTATGTTTTTTATGTGTTTTTGATCGGGGGGGGTAGACTCTACCCCTCCCCCTGTCGTTGCCCCTGAGCGCTGGGCCCCTCCTCCCTGCACCCCGTGCCTGGCGCGCGTATAGCGCGCCCCGGGCGTGCACTCCGCAGGCGCTCGGCCAGAAGGTGCGGGGAGGGCAGGGCCTGGCGCCGACCTGAGAAACCCGCGCGGGCCTCTGAAAATCCACCTCCTGCTCCTCCTCCTCCTCCTCCTCCTCCTCGTCCTCCTCCCCCTCCTCCTCCTCCTCGTCCTCCTCCTCCTCCTCCTCCTCCTCCTCCTCCTCCTCCTCCCCTCCACCCCCCGCTTGCTCCCCTCCGCTTGCTCCTCCTCTACCTTCTCCTCCTCCTCCTGCTCCTCCTCACCCTCGTTTTCACCTTCGTCGTCTTCAGGGTCGGCGGCACCGGCCGTAAGGCCTTCGCAATACATGTGTTCTCAGAGATCCGAGGCTCCGCGCGAAAATATGGAGCGTCCGGTTTTGGGCCGTTTTCGGCCTCCTGGGGCCCTCAACGGGCCCCGGGACCGTCGAACAGTTACTCAGGACGAAAAGCCGTTCTCAGGGAGGTGGTCCAGACCTCTGGCGGTCCACGCATCGAAACATTTAGAGCGACGGATGTCTGGGTTGACATGAATAGTTTCGAAGTCGATCCCCAGACCCTTGCTGGGGTTCATCCCTGCCAGTTCCTCGAACTGCGTCCAGCCGTGGCCATGAGAAGCCAACCCCGACAGCAAAAAGAGGCCCCAAAAGGATTTCCGAACATCTATGTCTATGCGTCTCTTTGGCTCTCTGGGATCTGACGAAGTCCATGATGCCCGACGCGGCCCACCAAGCTCCGACATCGTAGCCCGGGCGCCCCGAGTCGGGCCCAGTGCGACCCCAGCCCGTGAGGTGCGCATAGATCAGGCTCGGATAGCGGCCTTGGATCGTCTCGTAGTCGAGGCCAATGCGCACAAGCGCAGGCTGCGTCACGTTCGTCACGAAGACCTGGACGTCAACGTCTTGAAACAACCAACCATTTCATTTTCATTCTCGCATTTCTCAGCCCCTGGGGGCCGTTTTCGGGCTCCGCATCGTCAACAGACCAGCTCATGATGGAAGCCGGTCCCCGAGAGGGGACCGGGAGCTCCCGGGCCCGCGCCCTGGACAAACCACGACACACCGGAGGTCTGGGGACCTCAGCAGTCGCCAGGAGGCGGTGGAAGAGCTGCACCTCTGCGTCGTCCTTGAGGTCCATGACCACGGACTTCTTGCCCCTGTTCGTGTTCTCGAACAGGGGCCCATGCGGCTCGTCGGGAGTGAGCCTGAGCGCCTCCTTCCGCCACATGTCCCCAGCAGGGCTCTCCACCTCTCGGAGGCCGTCGGGAGCGGTCCCAGCCCAGGGCGTCCCCGACGCTTCTCGCGCCATTGTGGGACCCCCGGGGGCGATCTTGCCCCGCGAGGGGGCGCCCTCCGGAGGCCATCCTGGCGGAGAGGCTGGGGTCACATCGGTCCAGGGTCGCCTCTGGCCGCGCACGAGCCTTGATGACTTCCGCCCCGTAGTCCGCAAGCGCCGCCGTCGCGGACGGAGCCGCCAACACAGTGGCCAACTCCACCACGCGCACGCCCTGGAGCATCGCGCTGGAAAAACACCCGAGGCTGGTTCTGAGTGGCCCAAAAAGGCGTCCAGCTGAAAGGGGGTGGTGCATTAGATTTGGGGCCAGTGTATTGCAAATGTATTGCGCCAGAGAATTGTTTTGCATTGTGTTGCAAGTACTCTATTTCACGCGAGAGTGCAGCAATATATTTGCGCCCCGAAATGTACTGCACGCCCCAGGTTTGTTTCAACCCCACAAATCAATTGCACCAGATCTATTGCACCACCCCCTCGTCACTGGACCCCCTCTTGGGTCAATCCGACCACGGGTGAAGCGACAGCAGATGACACAATACTGACACAGACATCCACTTTCAGAGGTCCGCGACAGACTTCTTGCACCGGCGCCGGACCCTCCCTCCTGGCGCGCGGAGCGTGCCAGTGGCAACGCGCTGGAGGCGCCGCTGGGGGTCTCCAGCGCCGATCCGAGAGGACCGCGCGGACCTCCGAAGGTCTGCGCTTGTCTGCCGTATGTTGTTCCCCGGGACTAGCCAAAGAGCTGAAGACCAATGCCTCGAGCCGAAACGGCTTCAGACATAGTGACAGCGGAGGAGCAGGACGATGAAGACAACGGGATGAGGAGGGGGCGGAGAAGGACGGAAGGAGGGAGAAGTAGCGGCTATAGCCAGGCTTAGCAGTTCCCCAATCAACGCTTGCACTGAAAGGGTCCTGGCGGATCTTGAAGGATCTGGCGAAAATTGGCGGCCGATGTCGGTGGGCCGCTAGGTTCCCGGGTTGAAGGATTTGTCGCAAATTGGCGGCCGATTTCGGTGGGCCGCTGGGTTTCCGGGTTCCGGGTTCCCGGGTTTCCAATTCAAGGTTCCAGGCCGATTTCGGTGGGCGGCGGGGTTACCGGGTTTCCAGGTTCCGGGGTTCCTGGTCGATCTGTTTATCGGTCGGTCTCACCTTCGAGTTCATCAACATGCTCTCTCTATCGATCTCACAATCGATCTCACTATCGATCTCGCAGTCGATCTCACGATGTATCGCACGAGCGATCTCACAATTGATCTCACTATCGATCTCACTGAATCGACTTCACTATCGGTCTCACGATCGACCTCACTATCGTCCTCACTATCGATCCCACTACCAATCTCACTATCTCACTACTGATCTCACAATGGATCTCTATATCCAGATCAGTATCTTTCAAACCATCCACTGATTGGAATTTTCTGTGGCATAAAATTCCGCTCCTGGGTATGCTCAGGTTGATTTCGAGCTTGGGCTTGATGGCTGGCTCATCCTTCTCTTTCGCTGCATGCTTCGAGCCTTCTGCCATCAAGGCAACTCGCCTGGGCTTCGTTTCTGCATGGGCTGGTGGGGATACGCGAAGCGTGAAGCCACTCGTGCGTCTGCCTCTTGCCCAGAATAAGACAGCATGGCGTGAACCTCTAGCGGGGTTCCAGATCTCTCGACAGAGAAGGAGGAGGAGAACGAAAGAGAAGGAGGAGGCGGAAGAGGAGGAGGTGGAGGAGGAGGAGGAGGAGGGAGAAGGAGGAGGAGGAGGAGGAGGAGGAGGAGGGAGAGGAGAGGAGGGAGGAGGAGGAGGAGGAGGAGGAGGAGGAGGAGGAGGAGCAGGAGGAGGAGGAGGAGGAGGAGGAGGAGGAGGAGGAGGGGGAAGAGGAGGGAGGCTGGAGATCTCTCGACGCATTCCGTGAGGCCGGCGCCCTCGTTGACCTCTCTTGGAGGTCAACTTTTACTTCCGCTGGCCTTCCGCCTACTTGCGCCACCCTCGTCTTGCTTCCGCCGCCTTCCGCTGGCCTTCCGCCAAGTTCCGCCGAGGGCGCACCTTCTTCATCCGTCGAACGCGAGGCCATCATGGAACGCCCCACAGAAGAACTGTCATGCTGCATGTCCATGAACCAAGCTACGATTTTGCACGGGCTCGCGGAAATTCTGGGTGACAAGGGCGGCCTGACCAGCGATCTGTGCTGACCGAGTCGGCAAGACAGGAGGGGAACGAATGCGATGGCCTTGTCTGGGCAGAAAAGCCTGCGCTGTCTGGCCACCGCAATGCATCTCCCCCCAAAACGGGCTAGTATGAGGCTGACACGTCCACCTCGTCCACGTTCTCCTCCTCGACCTCCTCGGCCAAGCATGCCAGGCCGAACTCCTCGAGCGCCTCGACAATCTTCAAGGCCCGCTTTTCCTCCGTCCTCTTCACGAGGACCGCCTGGCCCACGCCAACGGGATCCTTAGTAGCCTCGGCATAGGCTTCGCGGATGTCCTGCACAGAGGAAGGAAGAGGGAGGGAGAAGGAAGGGGGGGTGGAGGGGGGGAGGGAGGGAGGGAGGGAGGGAGGATGACCAGGATGACCGAAGGGTGGGAGGGGGGAAGGGGGAAAGAGGATGTCCTTCACGGGGATGTCGATGGTCTCCATCATCAGCCCCACGAAGTAGTCCTCGCGCTTCCAAAAGTGGTGCCCAGTGTGCCCTGCCGGCAGGTGGGGGGCCGAGAGCATTGAATTCACGATCCAGGGCCGAGGGTTCACAGGCCCCCACCCCACAAACGGGATAAACCCCAGGGCTCCCCCCCCCCGCCCCCCCTTACGGGATGGGTGGGGCTGGCAACGACGACGACGACGACGCCATCAAGGCCAAAGCACAGGGCCACGACTTCAGGGGGGTGGACCCATCGCGCGGGGGGGGGGGCGGCGATCCCGTTAGCGCTGGAGGGCGGGGAAGGCCCAGAGCCCTGGATCATACATGCCCTGTTCGGCCGGCGGCCCCCGCCCCCCTCTCGAGCTGACGGCCTCCCACCTCGACCACTCCCCGCTGCCCGCTCCCACTTCTCCGTCTCCTGCTTCTCCCCGTCCATTTCCTCTTTCCTCGTCTTCCCCCCCCTCCTCCTCCTCCTCCTCCTCCTCCTCCTCCTCCTCCCCTCCTCCTCCTCCTCCTCCTCCTCCTCCTCCTCCTCCTCCTCCGATAACTCCTTGGCGCACCCGGAGGCCAGCCGGAACGGCGGTCGCGTCTTTTCGCCTGAGACTTCCTTACCCTGTATGACCTTGACGCTAAAAATTTGGCAGCGGATTCGCAGATGGAGAGCGGGTCGCTTCCAAAATGTGGCTCTCGCCGTTGTGCCACGCACATTCGATTTAAACAGATGCAAGAGTTTCTCGGATTGAGGGCGGGTCGTTTTCAAAAGGTGGCTCTCGCCTTAGCGCCGCGCACACTCGTGTTAAACAATTGCAAGAATGTCGCAGGCGTCCGTTGTTAATGTGCCACAAGCAATGTTTTTTGGAGCGATTCGCGGTTGTTTACGTTGAAATCCCAGGAATGGTGCTGTGGCACGATTCTGGATCGTCAAGACGTAGCAGTCAGACTGATTCGTGGCGTTGGAGTCCCGAGAATGATTTTTGGGCGCGCTTCAGGAACTTCAAACGGTTGTCCCCCAACGGGGCATTTCCCCCAGTGGAAAATGAACCCTTGTAGGGACCTAGAAGACGGAGCTTGGGGGAGGGTTTGTTCCAACATCGTTGATCGGAGTCTTGGGTTTGCACCAGTCCTCCTCCTCCTCCTCCTCCTCCTCCTCCTTCTCTTCCTCCTCCTCTCTCACCCAATCTGCCAGTTCTCCGGGCCCGCGTCTGGAGCCCCCGCTTGGACGGACGGCATTCTTATGGTCCTCCGTGGGGATATTTGCTCTCAGCAGCAAGGCGCGCACCGCGCCCCCGGTGGCCTGCGGCGGGCACCGAGCCGTCTTGGCCCCGCGCCGGAGGCGGGCAAGCGGCCGCCGCCTCGACGCGATGCCCGACGCGGGCTCGCCAGGCGCCTGCGCTCGCGAGGGCTCGGGAGGAGGCGAGCCTCACGGGCAGGCTTCCAGGCGAGCGGCTGTCCGTGCTGCGGGTTCACGCCCTGCGTGATCTTGTTGGCCTTGCGCATCCTCTCCTTCTACGCGGCCTTCGTCTTGGCTGGTGCGCACATGGCCCCGAGTCCGCGGTGCTTCTCCTCGACCTCCCTGGCGTACTGGAAGCACTGCAGGCACACCCTATGGCACGTGGAGTGTGCGCAGCTGGTGCCACTCGTCGTGCTCCGCATTCAGCGGGCCTGACACGCTTGAGTCATCGTTTCGGTGCTTCGATTTCTGGTCGAGCGAGGCCTGGCACGCGTTTCATGCCTGGCCTCAACTTTCTATTTGATTTCATCGAGTGCTACTTGTTCCCAGATGCTTCCTTCAATTGCAGTGGACGTCCCCCTCATGTTCTTTCCTCTCCCCTCCTCCTCATCGTTCCTCCTCCTCTTCGTCCTTCCTTCCTTCCTTCCTTCCTTCCTTCAATCCTTCTTCATTGCTTCATGTCGTTCTTCTTTCCTTCTCCTCCTCCTCCTCATTTCTCATACTCCCTCTTCCTCTTCCCCCATACTCCTCATCCATGCACTTCCTTTCTCCTCCTGCCCTTCCCCATCTCCATGATTGTCCTCCTTCTGCTCCTCCTTTCGTTTTTCCTTCCGTTCTGCTCCGCGTCCTGTTCTTCGGTGAATCTCGCCCCTGTTTCTCCTCCCCTCCCCGTCCTTCTCAAACACTCGCTCCCGCCATTACCGTGGCGACCTGGCAAGATCCGCTCTGCTCAGAGCAAGTGGGACACGACAGCCGACGCGGAGCAAAGCAAGCGCAGAAGGTTCCACACACTCGTCTCCGTGCTGCTGCTGCTGCTGCTGCTGCTGCTGCTCCTCTGCCTCTTCCTCCCTCCTCCTCCTCCTCCTCCTCCTCCTCCTCCTCCTCCTCCACTTTCGCCTCCTACTCTCCGCTATCCGACTCCACCTCATTCTCTCCTCC